ATACAGTGCTGCTTGAAAGTTTGTGAACCCTTTAGAATTGTCTATTTCTGCATAAATATGACCCAAAACGTAATTAGATTCTCACACAAATCCTGAAAGTTGACAAAGAGAACCCAATCAAACAAATGAGATGAAAATATATACTTTGTCATTTATTTATTCAGGAAAATTATCCAATATTACATATCTGTGAGCGGCAAAAGTATGTGAATCTCTAGGATTAGCTGTTAATTTGAAGGTGAAGCCCGTGGGAGTCCATCTGTTCAGAGGTGTTTTTAATCAGTGAGATGACTATCAGGTGTCAGTGTGTGTCCTGTTTTATTTAAAGAACAGGGATCTATCGAAGTCTGATCATGTTTGTGGAAGTGTATCATTGCACAAACAAATGAGATCTCTGAGGACCTCAGAAAAACATTTTGGTTTAAATGAGCAGCGTTATGTTTGGAAAAGTAAACACTGCATTCCAGCATAAGAACCTTATCCCATCTGTGAAACATGGTGGTGGTAGTATCATGGTTTGGGCCTGTTTTGCTGCATCTGGTTCCGAACAATGAATTCTGAATTATACCAGCAAATTCTAAAGGAAAATGTTAAGACATCTGTCCGAGAACTGAGTCTCAAGAGAAAGTGGGTCATGCAGCAAGACAACGACCCCAAGCACACTACCAGTCGTTCTACCAAAGAATGGTTAAAGAAGAACAAAGTAAATGTTTTGGAATGACTGAGTCAAATTCTGGACTTTAATCCAATTGACATTTTGTGGAAGGACCTGAAGCAAGCAGTTCATTGGAGGAAACCCATCAACATCACAGCGTTGAAGTGGTTCTGTACTGAGGAAAGGGCTAAAATTGTGTGCAGGACTGAGCAGCAGTTACAAGAAACGTTACTTGCAGTTATTGCTGCAAAAGGGGGTCACACCAGATACTGAAAGCAAAGATTCACATACTTTTGCCACTCGCAAATATTTAACACCGGATCATTTTTCTCAATAAATAAATGACAACGTATATATTTTTGTCTCTTTTGTTTGATTGGATTCTCTGTCTACTTTCAGGATTTGTGTGAAAATCCAATTATGTTTTGGGTCATGTTTTTGCAGAAATATAGAAAATTCTAAAGGGTTCACAAACTTTCAAGCAGCACTGTATACTATAGGTGATTGTATTGGTGCATCTCTATAACCTATAAGTTATGTATGGAATCTCATTGCATACTTGCAGCATTTCTAAAACTCTCTAGCAGGACTATTTCTGATGCTTATTTTAAATTTAGAAGATCACTATGGGATCATATTCCCGCCAAATGTATTGCAGTCACGGATAAAAAAATAACAAGCATGAAAACAAAATTAAAACTCAAGTAAAATTATATTGCACAAAGTTTAAAAATGAAAGCAAAGTTTTCAGAATAGCAAACAATGGTCACGGATCAAAAAATTGTAAGCGTAAATCAAAAATTTAATAACGCATTAAAAAAAATAATAAGCATGAATCAACTTTAAACGCATTTAAAATCATATTGCACAAAACTGAAATATTAATGCAAAATTATCCGAATTGCACACAAAATCGTGTTTTCCATGGTTATATTTCTGTTTTTTGTGCTCTCAGACATTTTCTGCACATATTTTTATTTTTTGTATGCTTATGCTGTTTTTCCCTTTGCTCTTTATTCCACGTTCTGCGCTTCTTCTTCCAAATGTTGCAGTTAGAGTTTTATGTAAATTAGGGAGGGTTAAAAAATCATCACTGGTCCACTAGTTCTAGATTGACAGCTCCTCCTCTAGCCAATCAGTCGAAGAGGGTCGGTGACGTCACGCCACACGCGCCTCATTACTGCCGATGCTCAGTGCTCTGTTCACTTGTACAGGTAAAAATAGACAACTGTCGGCTGGGAAACATCTTTCCATACAGGACACTGTTATATGTGTCTTGTCTGTCACTGCTTTTCGTTTGCTCTTCTGAAAACTTAGCTTTCATTTTTACATTTTGTGCAATATAATTTTACTTGCGTTTTTAAATTTTGGTTTCACGCTTGTTATTTTTTTATCCGTGACTGCAATACATTTGGCGTGAATATGATCCCATAGATCAGGGGTTTTCAACCTTTTAGGACATGCGCCCCCTCCAATTTTGTCTAATTTCACTCGCGCCCCCCCAACATCCAACATGTCAACATCCGTGGTTGGATTTTCGACACGGCTAATCGTAAATCATCTTACACTGTCAATAAGTGTGACCAGGGTTGCCAGGTTTTCACAACAAAACCCGCCTAATTGCTACTCAAAACTAGCCCAAAACTACAAAACGCGGCAAGTGTTAAAGTAGCCAAATTCCGTGAGAAAACCACAGACTTGGCAACACTGAGCGTGACTGATACTCGAGATAACTCTGCTCTAACTGTCGACTAGCAGTGGGAGTCAGATTGCCCCCTAGTGGATGGCTAAAGATTTGCTAACTCGTATTCATAAATTCTCAAGGGAACGTCTCTGAATTAACTGATGCTCCCGCCCCACAGGTTGAAAACCCCTGCCATAAATCACATGCAAATTACATGTTTCCTCCCAAATTAAGTGAATCTTGTATTTGTGCTATGCATTTAGCATCAGTACTTGGTTCCACAAAGAGAGAGAAGAAATGTAGATTCTGAAATGTAAGGAGCTACTGTTATGGGCATAAAGTGTGCTCATGTGCCCATCCTCGTGACTCATGTGAATTCCTCATTAATACTGAAGCACAACTCAAGTCAGACACACCCAAACTCACCGCAGGGTTGGGCGGCCTGTCTCGCACACCCACTGATTACACCAGACGTTAACCTCCGTGACAGACTCTACACTTCTCTTGTTAGTACACATACAATATTAAGACATGATGTTGCTGAATCAGATGTGAGAAGTATCAAAACTTTCTTTGTTCACACTATAGGAGACATTTTATTTTTTATTTTTTTACATTGTATAGTAAGTCCAAAAAAAAAGTCCCCGATATTTTAATTATAACACTTGAAAAATAAATGATATTACCCACAGAATCTCAATGATTACTTCAAAGTAATAATGCCACTTATTTAATGTTTATTACATAATTATTTTAACTGTCAAATTACCAAAGAAGTTAATCAGAAATATTTGTCAAATGATTCAGAAGAGATCAGAGATGTCATAAAATTAAATGTTTGATCTGTGCATATTTTAAAGATTACATTTTTCAGGTGTAAATACCTTGCACTGATAAATGTTATTACATTTTTTTTAATTTTTTTATTTTATGCACACTTCTTAAAAGTGCTGTTCTGTCTTTAGGCTTTTCTTCAGAGGCGTGGACTACAGCAGGACCTCTGTGAGTTCTGCCACAATCACAACTACAACCTGGTGGTTGCCATGACAATCTCTTTCAATGACAACAAAGAGCCCTTCCGACAGTTAGCCGTCTACAGTTCCAGCACTGTCTACAGGGAAGAGGTACTCAGTGCTTTATACCAAAGACTATAGAATACCCAAGACGTGTCACTCGTATAGTTATGACTGGGAAAAATGCAACGCTCAATATGGCCGCACAATCGCAGGAAGCCCCACCTTCTGAATGAAAGAGCCAATCGCTAACGGTAAAGTCCGCACGTCACTGCAGCTGCCGTTAGAAGTCCCGGTTGCTATAGAAACAGTCAGCGCTCTGAGACATGCACTCAGGACTGTGCATGCGCACTGGCTGATCTAGCCTGAATAATAAGCTTTTATAATGCTATTTGAGCAAAATAAACAACATTTATGACACAGTTGATATCAGATTTCTTTGGTGATTTCAAATATGAAATTTAATCACAAGCTTAGTGAACCGTTTTGGAGAATTTGATATTTCCCCATTCAAAGAGATAGGAGTTGCACTTGCATGTCCGAGAGGCATTTCAAAGATGGCCGCCGAGTGACATGACTTGTCTTAAAGGGACTTTGTTTATACCTTTCTGGGAATGAAGGTTCAAATGGCTTCCCTATAATTGACTCATGATAATTGACATAATTTTGAGAAACAAAGCACATTCGTCACCTTAAAGAATTCAACATGTCTTTTATCAACAGTATTTTATGGTAAACCCTCAGCAAGAATTAAGATCAGAAAAGATCTTTCTAACCAGTTTACAGGGTTTCCCAGTTTGTCCTTTATTATGCTTTATTTCCCGTCTTTTAATGTTGTAATGTAAAAAATGGCAACCATTGCTTGATCCAGTCAATTCCTGATCACTGAATATAGTTTTTTACATGGAAATGCACTACTGTTCAAAAGTAAGGATGCATTACAGCAAGGATGCATTACATGGATCAAAAGTGACAGTATATGACATTTGTAATACTACAAAAGATGTTTATTTCAAATAAATGATTTATTTGAACATTCTATTCATCAAAGAATCCTGAAAAAAATGTATCACAGTTTGCACAAAAATATTCAGTATCACACCACTGAAGATAATAATAAGAAATGTTTCCTGAGCACCAAATCGGCATATTAGATTGATTTCTGAAGGATCATGTGACAATGAAGCCTGGGGTAATGGCTGCTGAAAATTCCGCTTTGCATAACAGGAATAAATTACATTTTAAATATATTAAAACAGAAAACAATTTAGTTTAATTTGTAGTAATATTTAACAATATTAACTGTAATTTTGCTAAATAAATGCAATATTAAATGATGAATAAATGAAAAATGCTGAGCATAAGAAGCTTATTTCTAAAATATTGAAAATCTTACCGATCCTAAGCTTTTCAACAGTAGTGTATAAAATAAAATTAATTCAACTGGAAATGTCATTCACAATTTAAGATTTTTCTCACTTTACTAATTGATATCTGTATTTTCTTTTTTCATAGATGAGTAAAGCACTAGAAAAAGCCAAAAACAACAGTCTGGACCTTAAGCCAATGAGCAGTTCATATCCGGATGTGAAGGCCTTTTTACAGGGTAACACATTAGCATCCCGCAAGAAGGTAATGCCCATAATCACAGACTTTCTGAAGGAGAGGGAAAAGAAAGCATATCAATGTGGGAACATAGAGGACCTAGATCTGGACGATGATTCCAATCAGGACCAGAGTGAATCTCAACAATGTCCCGAGGACGCTGGGATTGAGGATGATACCCATGTTCCTCCAACGCCAATGAACAGTCTGGTGGAGGGTTGTCCCTTAGACAATGGCCTACCAAAAATCAGTCCTGAGGTTTTGGTGGAGAAAGTTAGCAAGATGGCCAGCATGGAGGACACGTCTCCTGAGGGACAGTGATGAGAATCAGTTGTCAAAGAGAGTCTTGAATAAGAGCTGGAGAAGGAAAGTCCTTCTGCATCTTCAAGAGGATGAAGTGCATATCCAACAGTGCTGCATCAGGGCATGAGAATGAAATGGCACTTTTTTGATCTGGGTAACTCACAAAGGTACGATAGTCTGAAGAGACCATTCGGTTAACTGGTACATGATCATTCGAATGGAGCATTACATAAATGCATTTTATGTACAATGTTTAAAGTTTGGCTGACGTAAAAAAAAAAAAAAAATTCAGGTTTAGGCTGTTTATTTATAGTTCACAGTCATATTCATGTTTGATCTTCTAAATTAATCAGAAGTCTCATTAAGACATATAAGCACATTATCTAAAATTGACTATAAGCACCCAGTGCAAGCTAGCTACTGACAGTGCATAATGAATTTCTGGTATTATACAATTAATTATAACATGGTAGCTATCGTTGCTTTTGATGTCAGTAACATACTTCATTCTTCGTAGTGTTAATTAAAGAAGTTATTTTCAGCTTGTCTGCACATCACCTCTGTGGCATGGCATTGATTTCCCCAGAAAATAGTTTTGACTTCTCCCTTGATTTATAAAAGCGAATGGAAATTGCATTTACAGTAAGACTCTCACAGTATTATCCTAGCAGGCAAGCAATTTTTTAATCTCATGTGGATACTGAGCTAAACTACCAGTAACACCCCCTCTGTGGCCTTTTGCATGTTATAGGTGTTAACTGACCTGCTCCTGGTTAGAATCAGGGCACCTGCATTTTAGTCATTGAGATTTTACTGTTAATTACCAAAGACCTCAGTTATATTTGTGTGTGAGGCATGTTAAACATTTGATCATTTGAGATTTAAAACTTCAGTATTCTGTTCATTTATATTATTTTGTTACATAATTTATTTGATGATTTGATGGCTTGGGGTATATTAGGGTTGAAAAAATGTTTTTCATGAACAGTCAGTTTGATTTGTTATATGGCTTGTAGTTGGGCTGCACGATTATGACAAAAATCATAATTGTCGATTATTCCCTTGAAATTGTAATTGCGATTATTAATTACGATTATTACAATTTACACTGAATGATGTTTATACCATTGTTTGATGCAACTGCATGCCGTATTTTTATATGAAAATTAACGAGCAACATTTTTTTTAGTGCTTTTCTATAGTAGAAGCCTCAAATGTCAACTATACATCGGATTGGTTCCTTCTTTAAATTGTAAAAAAGTAAAAATATGAATGGTATTATAATGTTATGCTAAAACTAAAATTAAAATAATGGAAAAAACCCTTAAGATAACACGTAGAAAGAAAAAAGCGCGTTTTAAGCACGCAGAATAACATACTTTAAACGATTACGTAATTGTGGCATCCATAATTGTAATCGCGATTAGAAATTCGATTAATTGTGCAGCCCTAGCCTGTAGCTTATTAGCAGATTCATTCATGCTGGACTATCACCATAATTATACTATTCATTATATTAATAAATGCAAAGGTTCAGTCCAAGGCATTTTAAAGGCCTAATTGGACGAATCTTATATAATAACATGTTTTATCGGACAGTTATATAAAGATGTTTTTTTTTTCCCCATAGACAAAAAAGAGCTAATTTAGTTATGTAAATTAAACAGTTAATATTGGACTTGAAACATATAAGATGGTATGTTGGTGTTTTGAGGTGTTGTGTACTCCCTGTGAATTAACCCTGACCAATAGTTTGATGAGATTTGACATGGTGACCGCAGAGGAAAATGGCACTTTTTTGATCTGGGTAACTCACAAAGGTACGATAGTCTGAAGAGACCATTCGGTTAACTGGTACATGATCATTCGAATGGAGCATTACATAAATGCATTTTATGTACAATGTTTAAAGTTTGGCTGACGTAAAAAAAAAAAAAAAATTCAGGTTTAGGCTGTTTATTTATAGTTCACAGTCATATTCATGTTTGATCTTCTAAATTAATCAGAAGTCTCATTAAGACATATAAGCACATTATCTAAAATTGACTATAAGCACCCAGTGCAAGCTAGCTACTGACAGTGCATAATGAATTTCTGGTATTATACAATTAATTATAACATGGTAGCTATCGTTGCTTTTGATGTCAGTAACATACTTCATTCTTCGTAGTGTTAATTAAAGAAGTTATTTTCAGCTTGTCTGCACATCACCTCTGTGGCATGGCATTGATTTCCCCAGAAAATAGTTTTGACTTCTCCCTTGATTTATAAAAGCGAATGGAAATTGCATTTACAGTAAGACTCTCACAGTATTATCCTAGCAGGCAAGCAATTTTTTAATCTCATGTGGATACTGAGCTAAACTACCAGTAACACCCCCTCTGTGGCCTTTTGCATGTTATAGGTGTTAACTGACCTGCTCCTGGTTAGAATCAGGGCTTTAGTCATTGAGTCATTGAGATTTTACTGTTAATTACCAAAGACCTCAGTTATATTTGTGTGTGAGGCATGTTAAACATTTGAGATTTAAAAATTTAAAACTTCAGTATTCTGTTCATTTATATTATTTTGTTACATAATTTATTTGATGATTTGATGGCTTGGGGTATATTAGGGTTGAAAAAATGTTTTTCATGAACAGTCAGTTTGATTTGTTATATGGCTTGTAGTTGGGCTGCACGATTATGACAAAAATCATAATTGTCGATTATTCCCTTGAAATTGTAATTGCGATTATTAATTACGATTATTACAATTTACACTGAATGATGTTTATACCATTGTTTGATGCAACTGCATGCCGTATTTTTATATGAAAATTAACGAGCAACATTTTTTTTAGTGCTTTTCTATAGTAGAAGCCTCAAATGTCAACTATACATCGGATTGGTTCCTTCTTTAAATTGTAAAAAAGTAAAAATATGAATGGTATTATAATGTTATGCTAAAACTAAAATTAAAATAATGGAAAAAACCCTTAAGATAACACGTAGAAAGAAAAAAGCGCGTTTTAAGCACGCAGAATAACATACTTTAAACGATTACGTAATTGTGGCATCCATAATTGTAATCGCGATTAGAAATTCGATTAATTGTGCAGCCCTAGCCTGTAGCTTATTAGCAGATTCATTCATGCTGGACTATCACCATAATTATACTATTCATTATATTAATAAATGCAAAGGTTCAGTCCAAGGCATTTTAAAGGCCTAATTGGACGAATCTTATATAATAACATGTTTTATCGGACAGTTATATAAAGATGTTTTTTTTTTCCCCATAGACAAAAAAGAGCTAATTTAGTTATGTAAATTAAACAGTTAATATTGGACTTGAAACATATAAGATGGTATGTTGGTGTTTTGAGGTGTTGTGTACTCCCTGTGAATTAACCCTGACCAATAGTTTGATGAGATTTGACATGGTGACCGCAGAGGATTGCTGCATGCTGCCTCAGGAAAACTAAGCACATTTTTACTAGTCGATTCCACTAAACTATATAACAGCAATATCATAATAATGTAATTGATTTTGTATGAAATGCTGATTTAATCTAAATGTATTAATGTGCTATGGTTGTGAAACAGGACATTCGAGAGAACATCCTCTGTCAAGTATTTTATTGCCGAGGACTTTTTTTATTTTATGTTCTCTGTGACTGAGTATGAATAAAACATTTTCAAATAGTTCTATATGTAATTTGTGAGCTTTTTCTGCACAAAGACACAATTTCATTGCCGTCTCATTTTAAATTTTTCTTGGACACTAATAGTTCAGGGTCAGCAATATTTTGTCATGTTTCTTATCCTCATCAAGGCTGCATTTATTTGATTAACAAACAGGAAAATCATTAATATAGTGAAATATTATTACAATGTAATATTCAAATACAAATATGTTATAAAAATGTATATTGTCAACATTCATTGCTAAAGTTTTCAGTGTCACATGATCCTTTATAAATCGTTCTAATATGCTAATTTGGTGTGCCAATAACTTCTTGTTATCAGTGTTGAAATCAGTTGTGCGGCATAATATTTTTGTGGAACTATTTAAAGATTCTTTGAATAAAAAGATTAAAATAACATTTATTTGAATAGCTTTTATTTGAATAATGTAAATGTCTTTACTGTCACTTTTGATCAGATTAATGAATCCTTGCTGAATAGAAGTATTAATCTTACTGATAAACTTTTGTCCAGTAGTGTATGCACCTAATTGAATACAAACGGCTAAATACATGGAGTAGCTAATAGTCTTTTAAAGAGGCCTGTAACCTCAAGGGTATTAGGACCATGAAGCCATGCCTGTCTGTGGCATCTTCCTCCACCTTCCCAGCCTTCCCTGTGGGGGAGCTGAAGTTCTCAAAGCAGCTGAGCCAATGGGAGACAGACAATTCAGTCAGCAGAAGTCAGAAATGTTGAAAAACCTGTACTGACAGTCAGGGTGAGTTCCCTTACACAAGACACAAGATACAGACACTGAAACTGGCTTGCATTGTGGCGAAGCTCATGAAACACCTCAGGTCATGGTCCTCAACTGAGTTCACTGAATGCATTTCTAATCTAGACACTTTCTTTTAACGACTTTAGACATGGGGACCTACTCAGACCAGAGGGAAGGGTACATGCAAAATGGGTAAGTCAAAATTTAGATTACCTATTGTCATCATCAGAAATCTGTCCCTAAACACTGAAGTAACAATAATAAATGAATGGATTTGTATACAGTGTAATGATTAAGTTAAACTGACCTCTGTTTATAAAGGTTTCAGTTACTAATACTTGGACAAAACATATTTATAAGATCAAAACAAGTACCATAAGAGGTCATACGCACATACTGGATGAGCCAGCGACTAACAAACGAGTTGTTAACGTTCTGTTGCACTCTGAAGTGTACAGCAGAAGGACACGAGAGAACTCCTCGTACCACTTCTGTGTCTAGTTATTTAGAAAGAGGATTTCAGAAAAAGGAAGTTGCCGTTGAACTGATTTCTGGTACTTTTGCCAATCTTCTTGACTAATATTTGAGACATAACGACCACAGAAAGACATCTCCCATATCCTGTCGCCTGACAGACCAGCAGATTTTCTGTCATATTTGACACAATAATAAGGATTCCACTGCTGTCATGAGTTAAAAATGCAAATATAAATGGAAAAACTTGACAAAAATGTAAAGTTTAGTAAGTTTCTATTATGTTTTAAAAGGGGGAAATACTTCTACTCCAATCTTTTCCATTGCCACCACTAAAAAATATATATGTCATTATAACATTTTTAATGCTTTTAGACTGTAAAAGTGTCATGATATTAAAACTGTTATGCAATATTAATACTACTATAATCATAGAATTGGTCTTTTGACTTGTTAATTTCCATACCAAATTCCAAGTTCATGTCCGGACAAGAAGAGAATGCATGAAAGTTATGTCATAAAAACCCTCAGTGTTTATGTGATATGACTAACAAATAATGTATCCTTAATACAGTAAGTTACAAAATGAGTTACTGAAGTATTTTACCAGCCAAGACAAGGTTTTCAAAACAGGCGATTACTTTACTAAATCTTCTAAGAGTTACATCAAGAACAATTGCTGAAACAGTACACACATCCATGCTTTGCATTGGATGTATCATGTTGTCTGCCACAACTTTATACATTGTTCTAAAAAATGCCCTACATATTTCTTATAATACATTTTGACATCTGATAAGGTCTCAGTCAACATTGGGCTTGAGATTACGTGCAACAGTGTCTTGGTGCTGTATTGACTCACAGAGAGTCAGCCAGTAACTAAAAACATACAGCCTCCTGTTTCAGAGCATTTAATGTTTGAAATAATGTAGTCTCTGAGCAATCTTGATGGATACTAGTGTATCGTGTATGTTCAAAGGTTACAGGTTTGAAGCAAAGACAATACCATCAAGATCTGAATGAATTAGATACTGGCTTCTCATCAGAAACAGGTTGAGTTACGTGGCTCATATGTTGCTTACCTGCCCGGAACCAGCTGAAAACAAAACTAGATTTTCTGGTCATTTGTGCCATGTGTAATTACCA